ACAGTTGCGGGGTTTCACACTTTATAACCCTAATCGCATTAATCTGTTAACACTGTTGCGGGGTTTCACGATTTATAACCTTATGCGCAAATCAGTTCACTCTGTGTTCAGTAGTATACACGTTTAGAGTAGGGGAGCTATGTATCACAGTATCACACGCTCCCAATTACACAATTACACACACGTCCGGTTCTTCTTTCCGCGACGGCTGCTATATTCCAACTGTAGTCGGCTGACTGGAGAACTGTTGATAACACGCTCGGTGACTGTTACTTTATAACTCGACTCGGCGACTGTTACTTTATAACTCGGAACTGTCTTCGGCGATGGCCAGGTTACAACTGACTCGCAGCCGCTGTGCAGCTCAATTATATAGCTGCAGTGCTGCCTGTTGCGTTCCACGTCACAGCAGGAAGTTGATTACGGGTACGTAACGTTGCGCGTCACGTCACCGCGGAGGGGCGGGAGGGAGCGCTACGTTACCGCCACGCGCCTGTGGCCTGAGTTGCCACGTTGCTGCTTAGTAGGGAGGGGTCAACGTGTCACACTGCTCCCTCCTTAAGGCTGTTCGTCCCGAATAGCTTAACGGTGCACCCCCGGTCCTTTTCCGTCCCGTAGCTGTGCTTGCAGTGTCTCCTGTTGTTTCGGCTACTCTTCTGGCAGCGACTATTCTTCGTCCGTTACATCCGTTCCCCTATTAAGACAAAGCTCGTCTCGAGCGGTTTCCTTTCAGCTCGCCAGAAGATCCAGTCCTGTCCCATTCATTCATCACGTTCATTCTTCCTTGGGAGGCCGGTACTTCTACACTACCGGTTCCTCCTCTGCTTGAAGTCTTCTTTTCCGTTTTGGAGGCGGTCGACACTTCCACAGTGTCCAGTCCTTCTTCATTTCTTTCTTCGGATGTTCCTTATGTCGACGTAACAGCTCTTGATGCGTTGTTTGTACTCGCTGACGTCGTTGTCCCTCCTGGACTCCCCACTTCTTGCTGGCGCGAGACCGTGGCTCCAAGTCCTTTCTCCAGTATCCGAAGTTTCCCTGGGGAGTTTCCTTCTTGAAGTCATTTCCCCAACATCGTGCCACTGTCGCTCGACGGGATATCTTCCTGCAGATGGCAGCCAACTTTATCCGGGACGCATGATCTCCTCGGGTCCAAGATTTCCTGAAGATGTTTCTCCGGCGCCATGGCACTCTTGCACGGCGGGACACCTTCCTGCTGACGACGGCCAATTTGTTCTGGGGTCCGCAATTTTCCCGTGTCGGATTCTTCTTATTTCGTCGATTGCGGTCCCTGCGCTTTTCTTCTTCGGTTCTCCGACCGGCATTACTTCGGCGTCTTCTACGGGTACCTCTCGTAATTCTGCCGCCTCAGGTTTCCTGTTCGCTGAGGCCGGCTCTTCATCTTCTGGACGTTCCTCCACTTCTTGGCAGGCCATCTTCTCTCCGACCGATATCACTATGGGGACCTCTTCTTGTTGTGCCGTCATTGCTGGGGTTGTTCTCGTCTCTGCGGAAGTTTTTTCTCGCCAGGCGGCCACTTCTTCTCGCCAGGCTTTCGAGTCGGCGTCCGCCTTTTCTCGCCAGGCCCTCATCTCTTTCAACATTTCTTCTTTGTCGGTTTTCATGCTGGCTTCCATTCTAGCCAGCATTTCCATCAACTGCTGCATCTCCATCTTGTAGCAGTAGAAGTCTGTGAGGCGTAGTTAAGCTCGTAAAATTTCTGACACCAAATTATCACGTGTCTTGAGTTCGAATCTCGTCGGTCAGGTGTGTAAGTCCAAATCCCACTTCTGACACCAATGTAACGTGTTTGCTGGTTACTGAGGACGCCGTAGAGATCGTTAATTGGTTTATTTAACAATCTACAAGTAACGGCTACAATTGCTTATCACACAGTTGCGGGGTTTCACACTTTATAGCCCTAGTCGCATTAATTTGTTAACACTGTTGCGGGGTTTCACGATTTATAACCCTATGCGCAAAGCAGTTCACACTGTGTTCAGTAGTATACACGTTTACAGTAGGGGAGCTATGTATCACTGTATCACACGCTCCCAATTACACAATTACACACACGTCCGCTTCTTCTTTCCGCGACGGCTGCTATATTCCAACTGTGGTCGGCTGACTGGAGAACTGTTGATAACACGCTCGGCGACTGTTACTTTATAACTCGACTCGGCGACTGTTACTTTATAACTCGGAACTGTCTTCGGCGATGGCCAGGTTACAACTGACTCGCAGCCGCTGTGCAGCTCACTTATATAGCTGCAGTGCTGCCTGTTGCGTTCCAAGTCACAGCAGGAAATTGATTACGGGAACGTAGCGTTGCGCGCTACGTTACCGCCACGCGCCTGTGGCCTGAGTTGCCACGTTGCTGCTTGGTAGGGAGGGGTGAACGTGTCACACTATACATGTTGAAAAGAGTGGGGGAAACGAGAGAACCTTGTGGCACCCCTGCTTGCATTTCCCTTGGCGTTGACATTTCGCCTTCAACAGAGACCCTGAATGTACGTTTAGAGAGAAAAGACGCAATAAGCTTGGTCAAAGAGTTGGTGAATTCCAATTTTGATAATTTAAACAGCAATTCTGAGTGCCACGTGGTATCGAAGGCTTTTTCGATGTCCAAGAACACTGCAGCCGTAGACATTTTATTGTTAAAATTAAGGGTCACGTGGTCCGCCAGCCTCATACATTGCAATGTCGTGCAGTGACGTGCACGAAAACCAAACTGACTTGCGTTGAGCAGGTCTCTTTCTTCAATATGTTTATGGAGGAATTTCAAAATTGCTTTTTCGAATAGTTTTCCTGTCGTGGACAGGAGGCTGATCGGACGTAAATTTTGAGGAAATTTCGGGTCTTTACCCGGTTTAGGTAAAGTTATTATTTTTGCTTCCTTCCAAGTATTTGGAAAGTGAGAGAGCCGAAAACAGTGATTGAATAAGTGAGTTAGGTGAACCAATGGTCTCCTTGGAAGGTGCCTGAGGCATTCATTTGGGATGCCGTCAATTCCACAGGCCTTTTTTAATTTCAGGGATTTTATTAATTTCTGAACGTCACATGGTCTGATCCTTAGAGGGGGGTTTTCATCCACGGCTTCCAGCAGAGCTTGAACTCTAGCCTCCACCCGCTCTTCATGGTTTTCATCGCACAAGTCATGTGGCGTAAACTGAATTTCCAAACAGTCGGCAATTTTGTTGGCTTTTTCAAAAGGATAAAATTTTAAACCAGAAGAACCATGAATAGCAGTTGGTGCCCTTGGTCCGTCTCTCTGAAGGAGAGATTTCGCAATGGGCCATATACACTGAGGTGTGACTTCAGTGTTACTTATTTTTGTTTCCCACCGTTCAAGTGCCTTTTTACGGGTCATTCGCCTGATTGATTTGGTGACCCAATTGACTGCCGTTTTACACGCTGGATCCCTGGTTTCTTGCCACAGTTTTCGTAGCCTCTGCTTGTATTTAATCAAACGATCTAGACCAGGAAGATCGTTGTTTATGTCCGAAAGGGTAACTTTACTTGTCGACAGCCTATATGCCGAAGCAATAGAGGCTGCAAAGTCGCGTGCCGCTTTATCGGCTTCTACCCCCGAATTAATTTCTAGTTTAGGTGATATTAATTCAGAAGCGAGGCTTTGAAACCGCTCCCAATCTGTAAATTTTTCAATGGGTTCCGAAAGATTCCTAATTTTAACGTGATCCAGTATGTGGAATACTATTGGTAGGTGATCTGAGTCCAAAATATCAGAGACGATGACCTCTGACACTCTGATATTTTGGTGAACCACAATGTCTAGCACGTCACCATTTCCCGCAGGGGAATAATGAGTGGGGCACTGTGGTGCTGAAATTTCGAAATCTCTCCTATCAAATAAATCAACGAGTTTCAAGCCTGAGGGGTTTGAAACTCTGCTATTCCAGAAGGGGTTCTTAGCATTCAAATCACCTGCCAAAATAGACTTACGTCTGAAGCTTAAGAGCTCAGTGATGTCAGCATCACTCCAAGCTTTGCTTGGAGATTTGTAAACAGCTGCAAGCAGCACTTCGCTATTTCCAATTGGTATGCAGACCCCTGTCGCTTCTACTGAAACAAGGGGTGGTAGGTCTACATGGTTATGGGGAATGCCTTTTCTTACTGCAACGGCAGTTCCGCCTTTTCTGCCCGACTGGCGGTCGATTCTATAAAAGTGGTAATTTGGAATAAAGAACCTCTCATGAGGTTTCAGATGTGTCTCTGAAAACAGGGCCACATCTACGTGTAGGTCTTGCAGCTGTTTATTGAGCTCATAGCGCTGCCTCCCAATGCCATTCGCATTAAATGCTATGACTTTGAGGGGCCTATGAACTCTAGTGGCCATTCTGTTTCATAAGGTTTAGAACAATTTTCGTAATGGCCATTATTTTGTCCTCCTCGGACACTGCACCACTGACCTCTGTCATAATCTGCTGTACTACAGTCACTACTCTCAGCATATTGTCGAGAGACTGACCGTTTACATTAGTAGCCTGACCTGACTGACCTGTTTCTGTCTGTAGTGCAGGGGCCGGTACCGAATGCTTCTTCGTTGTGGCTGGAGCCACCGGAACATGGCTTCCCTGAGGGCGCTGATTCTGCTCCGCCGCACTGCCTCGGAGTGCCGCCGCGAAGGAGACACCTGGAGTTACGGTGGCTGAAGAGAACACCCTCCCTGTAGATTTGGACGTTCTCTGAGCCTTCCTTCTCTGTTGCACCTCTTTGGCATGATTGCAACCCCGATAATTGGCGGGATGGGGCTTTTCTCCCTCCGCCAACCGGCAGTTGCAGCATACTGGGGTGGAGGCAGAGTTCTCCTTCTCTGGGCATTCCTTGTGTAAGTGGCCACCTCCGCACCACAAACAACGTGGGGGCTGTTTGCAGTTAGCCCAAACGTGGCCGAACTGCTGGCAGTTGTAACATTGTATGAACCCGCTCTGTGCTCTGTACGCCTCTACCTTGATGGCTATGTGGCAGAGGTTAGTCAGGCGGAAGACTTCTTGGGATTTCTCCGTCCTAGGAAGTGTGATAAGGAACAAGGGAAGGTAGATGTTATCTGTTCCTTCTGGAGGAGTCCGACGACTGGTCATTTGTTTGACGCTAATGACGTCAAACCCCAGACTCATCAGTCCATCAGAGATATCTTCCGCTGGAGTGTTGTGTGGAAGGTGACGGATTACTGCTTTGATTGGTTTCTCAGACTTGGGAAAGAATGTAAAGTACGATAGATTGGTACTTTCTAGGAAAGTTTTGATGGCTGAGAAGTCCGCCATTTCCTTCGTGACAATTCTGGTCCCGCTCCTGGTGTTGCGGAACTCAAAATTGCCCGTGACCAGTTCTTTGACCTTCCTCTGCAACTGCATCAGGTTTGTCGTGGAGGTTAGTACAATTGGAGGCAGCCTAACTGGCTTGTCCGATGGTTGCTGCTCTCCCGGCTTGCTGGTTGACTCTTCCACGTCCATACCTGACGTCCTCAGGGGCGCAAAGAAGTTCTTAGTTTCAACTTCATTCTTTGATTTTAATCTAGGATCCCGGGGACTAGGTGATGGCTTCGGTTTCTTAGATTATTCTCCCGAGGAGTTTCACTTTCGTCTCCTTTGTTCGCGAAAATCCTCGGCTGAATCTTCTTTTCCTTCCAGCAGGAGAGACTCTCGCATCTCCCTGTGGATGGCAGCACAGAGGCGCAGCATGGCTGTAAAGAGGGTCTTGCCCTCGAGGTGTTTACACAGCACTGTCCTCTCTGCCTCGGATTTTGATATGAGTTTGTTCCATATTACGCCGTTTCCGTTTGTTGAGGGCGATGTATGGATAAGCTGCCCAATGGTTTGTAATCCTTTCCCTAGTAATTCGATGTCTTCCTGGCAGTCAGGATTACTGATTCTCAAGTTCTCGTGTTTCCTGTCAAACGAAGCCACGATTGCATTCCACCGTTTCGCACGATGTCGGCTCCGCCATTTTGTCCGTTGCAGACGGGACGGCCACCGCCACCGATGCACTAGCCACGCACTATGCACTGGTAGCAGAATAGTAACTAGGTGGCTGCAGACGAACACATTCAAGTTTATGGTCACCTGGGAACGCTCAAACTCCTTCCGTAAACGTCTCCCGAACCAATCTCAATCCTACTCAAACAGACAATCTCTCACAAGGTATGTAGCAGTAATAAAGTACACCTAAACAAACAGACAATCTCTTCAAGTCCCATCCGAAGAACTATCCTGATCGAATGTCTGATCTCTGATCTCAAGCTTTCCTCTGACTTTACAGATAATTCTGACCTGGCCCTGCGGTATGTGCACTTTCACTGATATATACACATGAGGACAGTACAAGCGAATTCCGGTCGCGGCGCCACTAGCGAATATGCAGCGACACTCGACCGCGATTAGTGCCTTGGAAACCGGAGAGTTAGAGCAGGAGGGAACAGTTCCGTCAACGAACCGGCCTCGTTCGAACAGCCGTCAAATGTTTGTGATTAAAATAGGGGTATGTTAAATGGATATGAAAACAAAATCAATATGCATTTCAACCAACCGAAGAAGAACACATAACATCCCCAGCGAAAAAAATAAATGCGCATAAAAAAGATTATGGTCTTCTAGGTTTGTGACAACGTGAATACCAACGTTTCGACGAAGCACGATGCCTACATATTTAGAAATGAAGTGGGGGTAGGAATAAGATCAGGTCACATATGCAGCTCAAGTCAATGTCAAACTGAATGTCACAATGCGAATGAAGTTCGGTCGGTCTGTCTTCCGGTCATTTAATCCATCTTGGTGTCAAGCTTGCCTGGGACTCATGATTAGATATGAGTCTTAGTTCTTGATAACAGAAATCTTAGTTGTCTTGGGGCGCCCTTTCTAATGAGAAGACGTTTCTGCCGGTTAAAAATCTTACTATTGCCCTTACATATTTGTATACACATTTACAGATAAACACTATACACGTTACATCAGGCCTGCCGAACTTCAAAACACTGAAACCAACACTGCACCGCCAGGACTTACCCGCAGGCCGAATAAAGAATAAGTATATATGTATGGAGCTGCATAACTGTGCACTTCTCCGAATATAATTAGAATGATCAAGTCAAGGGGGATGAGATGGCATGTAGAACGACGGGGGGAGAAGACGAATGCATAGAGGTTATTGATTCGCTGTACGCTGTTCCTCTCATTTTACCTCACCTTAACACCTTTATTCCGATAGGCAGTACCACGTAGTTCCATACTTTTATAATTAATTTACTAGGCGTCATGTAAAATCAACAGAAAAATTAAACTGAAAATTTAGGAAGCGATTTTAGTATTTTCTTAAACAAGATAAGTACGTCGCCTTTCTCTTTAGCAGGATGAATGCGCTAAGACGCATTTTGGGGAACTGCAACACACTATCGGGTCAGTACAATAGATAATAAACCACTATCGGAGACTCTTCTCTTCACTGTTCAGCTTCAATCGATGCGAACACGCACCCAATTGCCAATAATCTTGACCCACAATGAACCCGAGAATATTCAACTGAACTCACACTCACTCCTCTAACCGACCATCAATTGATGTGATGCGATCATCAATGAGCTCCACCGATGAACCCAACCGCTCCCGAACTTACACTGATGAATCGGCGGAACGCGAGGCAGGTGCTCACACATTCATAGGACATAGGGGAGACAGAGAGATCCGACTGGTCCGAGACAATAGGAACGGTAAACAGAAGATCTAAGAGCAAGAAATGGGGGTGTCAGAACATTAACGCCCAAAAAGAGGACCATGCATTCCCTGTTCATTGTTCCTATTGGCACGGACCGGCCTCCTTTCCTATCTCCTCCCTCAGTGAAATTTGTTACCAGCCCCAATAAACTGAACGCATTATGAACACCCTCAATTCGGCCTTGAAGATGGAGGCAACATGGTCGTCCGAAAGGTGATATCCACCTACAAAATTAAACAGTGTAACAATCCAGATGCCACAATCTCAACAAGCAGAATCGTGAAAAAAAGCGGAAACGTGTGAGTATACTATTCCAGCTGAGAATTTGTCAACTCATTCTCATGGAAGCATGACTGTATACTATTCCAGCTGAGAAACTGTCAGCACATTCTCATGGGAGGCGTGTGCTTATACTATTCCAACTGAGAATCTGTCAACACGTTCTCATGGGAGGTGTGTGCGTGTACTATTCCAGCTGAGAATCTGTCAGCACATTCTCATGGGAGGCGTATGGGTATACTAGTCCAGCTGAGAATCTGTCAACACATCCTCATGGGAGGCGTGTGCGTCTACTATTCCAGCTGAGAATCTGGCAACACATTCTCGCGGGAGGCGTGTGCGTATAATATTCCAGCTGAGAATCTGTCAACACATCCCCTCGGGAGGAGTGCCCATACTAGTCCAGCTGAGAATCTGTTCACACATGCTCTCGGGAGGCGTGTGCCCGTACTATTCCAGGTGAGAATCTGTCAACAAGTCCTCTGTGGAGACGTGTGCATATACTGTAATATGTATCTGTACCGCTTGCAGCTCTAGTGCTTGTCGGAGGGCCTCGTTTACCTTCTTCTCACCTCCTAGCAGCAACTGGATCTTTATATCGGCATCTCGTATTCCGTATACAAGGCTGTTGCTGCCTCTCTTCCTATGTAGTCTGCAGGTAAATTGGGGTAGGCACGATGGGAAAGCAGTTCAATGGCCGGGGCAAAGTCTTGCAGGGATTCTCCAGGTTTCTGGGTCCTTGTTCTTAATTGGCAGCTGCAAAGTGTTGGTCACCGAAACGGTCCTCTAGTTCCTGAAGCGTTTCCTCATAAGTTGTATTTGTCGGAATGCCAGGTAGCACTTCTGCCGCCCGGCCCTTCAGAGCGGTGATGAGGTATGTTAATTTTTCCCTGTCCGTCCATTGGTTGTGTTCTGCTACGGTCTCGAATTGTCGCCGGAACACTCTCCACGTCGAATTTCCGGCTGAGCCGTTCTCGCAACGATTTTTGACTATTTCCCCGCTCGGCCTTCGTCTGTCTCGTCTCGTCCAACCGTGCCCGGAACTCGCATTTGGCCTCCTCAATTGCTGCGCAGGTTTCATTGTAGTTTTTCGTTAAGTCTTCTTGGAATTGTGTTGTTCGCGCGCAGAGGGACACTTCAATCTTCTCAGTTAGCTCCGACTGCAGAATCCGTTTGCAGTGTTCGAAGATCGCAAAACTGTTTTCAATTCTATGTTGGATTATCTCTTCCAACTCTGACCGCATACATTGCATTTCCGCCTTCATTTCTTCCTTGTCGGCCTTCCTATCGGCCGCCGCCTTTTCTTGGTAGGAGTCTAATTTGGCCAGCATGATGTCTGCTTTATCTTGGTTGGCCCTCATCACTTTCAGCATATCCTCTTTGTCTTTCTTCCAATTTTCTTGCATGGCCTTCATTTCTTCCTGATGGGTTCGGAACATTTCTTGCATCTGCACGCGGTAGGTATCTGATCTTACTTGGTTTGCCCGAATCTCCTTCAGCATTTCTTCCTTGTCGGCTTTTCTATTGGCCTCCGTCGTTTCGTGTTTCTCTCTGATTTCCTTCAGTAGAAGTTCCATCATTTGTTGCATCTCCATTTTGTAGCAGTAAAATTCTCTGAGGCGTATTTAAGCTCGTAAAATTTCTGACACCAAATTGTCACGAGTCTTGAGTTCGAAGCTCGTTGGTCACGTGTGTAAGTCCAAATCCCACTTCTGACACCAATGTAATGTGTTTCGTTACTGAATACGCCGTAGAGATCGTTAATTGGTTTATTGAACAATCTACAAGTAACGGCTACAATTACTTATCACACAGTTGCGGGGTTTCACACTTTATAACCCTAATCGCATTAATCTGTTACCACTGTTGGGGGTTTCACGATTTATAACCCTATGCGTAAATCAGCTCACTCTGTCTTCAGTAGTCTACACGTTTACAGTAGGCGAGCTATGTATCACACACTCCCAATTACACAATCACACACACGTACGGTTCTTCTTATCGCGACGTCTGCTATACTCCAACTGTAGTCGGCTGACTGGAGAACTGTTGATAACACACTCGCTCGACTACTACTGAACTCGGCGACTGCTGCTATATGTCAACTCGACTCGTCGACTGTTACGTTACAACTGACTCGTAGCTGCTGTACGGTTCCCTTATATAGCCGCAGTGGTGCCTGTTGCGTGCCACGTCACAGTAGGAAGCGGTGCCGCTTCACCGTGTTTGCGTATAGCCTAGCAACGCTGTTACCTCGCGCCGTCTTACGTCAGCAGCGCGTTGCGCCTTACGTTACCGTGCGGAGGGGGAGGGGAGCGCTGACTCATCCGCCACGTCACTGTGACCTGAGTTGCCACGTTGCTGCTGGGTAGATTGTGGTTCTCCGTTGCGCAACATGTCACAATACTATTCCAGTTGATACTCTGGCCAGACAGATTTTGCCGGAAAATTATTCCTAAAAATTTAA